TTACTAAAGGTAGTGCTTTCAATTCAATACTTGATTCAGTTATAAATTTTAAGCAAAAGCTGAAATGCATGACAAGTGGGTTTTATTTTTACCACTTGGCATATCTTGTGTAAAACAGCAGGATGCTTACCCCGTATCTGCTAGCTAGCATCTGATGAACTGTAGCATCTACAGCTCCCAGCTTCACTTTGCCTTTTGTCTGCTCTTTCACATCTGTGGCAGCAGCCGCCCACTCTGGTTCCAAGCTACAGAAAACGCAAGAAGAATTAACCATTTCGAAAACAAAGCACTTAAAAAAGAATTTGTGTATTGTGAAGAATCTTGCACACGTACTTTTTACAGTGACCGCACCAAGGTGCGAAGAACTCTACCAGCCAAATGTCCTCGCTATCAAGGACGGTCTTATCAAAGTTGTCGTCCGTCAGCTCAATGACATCCTTCTTGCTACCGCTTCCTCCACTACTCTGCTAACACAAAACAAAGGGGTCTATGGCAGAAGAATACCAAAGATGCATATTTTACTTTTCACAGTTTCAGCAAAGTTTTCTTTCACCTTGGCTTTCATCGCTGCAGTAACGTATATGGAGATAATCCTAGCAGTGTCAGAGCCCGTACTGTGTTAAACATTTTTAAAAAATAATTTTACTTTTACACACTGAATGGACTGATTAATGGATGCGTTTTTAACTTGTAAAAATGTATGGAAAGGGGGTGATCTTGATAATATGGGGAATAACTTTCTTTTCAGCTAAACAAAACATACAAGCCCCATAGAAAATCTGAAACCAGAATTAAGTTTTAATGTTTCCTTACCTCAAAAAAATGTAGCTGCCAGCTGGATAAAGATATCCTTGTTTTTTTTTTCCTTTTTACACATGCTTCTGCTTACACTACATAAAGCATTCACTTTACAAATGCCCAGACTGGCTTCTCCCCCATTATGTCAAACAGGCAATGACTGCAGAACACAAGTGTTCTACAGAAATACGCTCTGTACCTGTCTCCCATGATCAGATCCACCAGTCTTTCCACCCAGTCTGTCCTTGACCATAGACTTCAGAGAGTTGAGAGCCGAATCTACAATTGCTTGACTTGACCTGGCACCTTTAATAGCAAGAAAACATCCACATTACACAGCGCAGAGTACAAGCGTGATCACAACTTATAATGCTCCCTGTAGTTCATGTTACCTTGATAATCCTCTGGCTTGTTCTTGTTCAGACCAAATACCTTGATTGTGGGAAACCCTCTGATGTTGTATTGACCAGCAAGAGACTTGTGTTGATCAGCATCCACTGCACCAACTTTAACAACACCCTGAACAAATGAAACAGGACAGCAAGACTCAGTTACGTGCTGCTGTAGCACAGTGATGAATCACTCATCAGAAGACATCTGTAGCGACACCATAAAACTGCCTTGGATAGTACATGGCGATTAAAAAAAGTAAACCACTCAGAAGGCATGACATGATAAAAATACATGTTCTCTAAACCTACACCCCTAAGTACACATTAGAACACTATTGTATACCTAAAGCATCACAATTGCTCTGGCAATAATACAAAAGCTGAAACTAAATTTGCAGTTGAGACTTAATTTCTTTTAGGACCTCCACTCAGTTTTATAGACTGCCCCAACTATACAAGTAGTGCAATTTACTGAAGTACTTACTTTTAAAGCAGTGGCAGCTTTTTTCCAGTCTGGTGTTAATCTTTGGCAATGGCCACACCTGTAGAAAGGATGTTTTATATTGTTTACTTTGCAGATGGCAG